AAATATTTTTGCCAAACTCTTAACAATGCAGCCCTTATTATATGATTTCTAAAAGTTTTATCAATCTTTTTTTGCATAAAAAGATAAGCATGCCACCCAAAGTACAAGTCCCATCCTTCCAAGTTCAAAATCCTCTTATTAGATAGATTAATCCAATCCGTCATCCAGGTCAATGCACAAGAATCATAGTAAAGTATCAGATTTGGAGCTTTAAGTCCTCCACGTTCTCTAACATCTTGAATAATCTTAAATTTAAATTTAAAATGATGCAGAATATTGATTTAATATCCTGAACATACATTTCTTAACTTGTAAGTATTAGTAATTCCTTGTTTTCTGTAGTATTCCTCACAGAGGCTAAGGCCAATTCTGTCTTAAAGAGATACCCACGGGCTAATGGACTTTTGGAAGAACTTAAAAAAGGAAACATCGAGCGTGAATGTTATGAAGAACGCTGTGATAAAGAAGAGGCAAGAGAAGCATTTGAAAATGATGAAAAGACGGTAGGTTACCTACTAAAAATGTAAAACATTCTTCACATATTTAATTTATCTAATATTTTTCCATATAATATGTGATACTGCATTAGAGCTAAGGCATGCATTGTGTTGTCTTCTTCAAGAATGAGGCTAGAAAATAACTACTAAATATGAAACTTTACATTTTGGACCTAGATGATCCTTACTCTGAGTCAGCTCCTTTTTGCTAAATCATCCCAGAATGATCTTTTAGCAGGCTTATAAGATTCCATTATTTTTATCTTCTGTGATCAGAATGTACAGCTGTTTTTATTCTAACATGGAAAAGATGGACTTCTAGAAATCCCCAATTTAAATTCCTCCTTTTAGAGATTAATTTGTAAAAAGGAACTCATTTTTCTTTGTTCTTTTTTTGTTTTCTTTTATTTCAAATGCTTCTATTCCACTTGTCATTCAAACATACTGCAATAAAGATTTATGTTTTAGTTTCAATTACCGTTTGTTGGTATTAATATCGTGGTCATCCATTTTTAACTAATGTTATTGGGTGTTAAATAAAAAAATCCGTCTTAAAACCTTTCTGATGTGGTCACCTGAGATACCTCCTTTAGTCCGTCCTGTCTTGACCATGGGTAAAATGGATTGTAAAGGAGATTAGTAACCGGAAAACGTGGTGGTTCTTATTATATTTGTCACATGGAGATGCCTGTTCCAAAAAAAGAGACATGGACAATCCATGTACACACAGAGCAGAAACAGGGAAGTTACAGGTGACAGAGCCATTCCTGATGGGAGAAATCCCATCCCTCAGTCATTCAGCATTCTTCATTCTCCCCAAGTAGAAATGTTTGAAGGCAGTGGACGCTCCCCAGGGTACCTGAACTACACAGAGGGACCTATGGATTTCTTAGCAATCCCGTTGTCAAACTTGGAACCACCACCATCCTATGAGGAAGTTGCTGGTGAAAGAAGCACAGAGACAAATGAATTTGCAAATCATTTGGATCCTCCTCCTCAGTACGAAGACATTGTGAATAGTATTTCAGTACCTCATGTTAACATCAAATGAAAGAGAAAGAGTATATGCTCCCTTTGTAGAAGCAAATGAACCCTAACACTTTTTAGCACTTTATTACAACTTGATGTTTCAAAGATTTCTACTGTACAGCGCTAATTCTTACTCTCCAAATTTGGTTTTTTCTGTGAGAATCCCTACATTTGGGGAAACAAAATAGTCTTCAGAGTGAACATATATAACACTATGTATGGTAATATTGTCGTGGCATACTTTTTCTATTATTAAAAGTGGTGCTAATAAATGGCTCAATTATAAAAATTGATTATCTAAGCAGATGGCAACACAGGACTGACTTTATCTAGGTTCAGAAATTAAGGAGAATTGGTTTTGATTTCTATTACAATGGGAAACCTCCAGGGAATAGCAAGACTGTAGATTAAACTAGGAAATCAAGGAAAGAGCTTGAAGGAAAGGTGAACCACTTCTGTGTTGCTGTCAAGAAAACTACATAAATGTATCCATGAAATCATCAGACATCTGGCTTGAAAAATACTTTACCTTGAACAAAATGGATTACAGCAAGAAATGCTGACAATTTTCCCCTCAAAATAAGTATTTTTGGAAACCTTGCATAGCAAAACCAAGTAAATCATTTAGTAGGAATAGTCAGGTTTGTCTCTAAAATGATTCTACTTGTTACAATGAGCACTAATTAAAACTGATGTATGGATATTAACTATATTCAAGCACATATATTTTAATTGTTCAGAAGAGTGTTAAAGAGGTTTTGTGATGCTTTGATCTATACTTCCATTTGTAAGCGCCTTAAAGACTAAGATTCTGGACCACTTGCCATGGTCTCTTTTGGCTGGCATCACTCTAATGGCAATAGCTTCTCTTCAGGCATTTGTGCACTTAGTATAAATGCTTGTAGAAGAGTAATCACACTGGTTTGCATCTCAGTAAGGGCTGTAGTGTCTCATGTAAAAGTATTGCTTTTCCCAATGAAGATGTCTTCTAAAATCATTTACATAAAATGAGTGAATTTTTTAGGCAGCCAGTGTCATTGGAAAGACATCAGCCAACAAAGTAATAACCCTTCCAGTTTAAATAAGGCCTGAACAGAGTTAGTAGTCAGTATTAAAATACTTTTCCTTTGTGCAATAAGTAATATACCAGAGAGTATAGAAAAGGAATGAGAAATAGCAATCCAAAGAAATAAAAATGTGAGGTTTAAAAAAAAATGGAAACACATCTAAAATTAGTATACACCATCACCATTCACTATACCTTTTCACAACTTTCTGTTTTTGTGACCATCTTTGCTTCCACCATTTCCATACACTGCTTCATACAATGTCTTTTCTTTTAAAGATCTTTTTTTAATCCTATTAATTCCATCTAACCACAACTTTCTCAATCTTCTCCATATTTTCCATATACACTTCACCTATTCCCTTGTATTCAGCCTTTATGTTTCTTCTGACACACCCAACTCTTATTGCCATTATAATAAAGGGGCAAAAACATGATGTTATATACATCCACTTTCATTTCTTTCAACAAAATTCTCACATCTAATGAAATAGATAGAAATGTAATAGTATTAATATTTATTAAATTTCTCTGTCTATTTTCCAACTATTCTCCTTTGAGGAAGAAATGTGTGTGTTAGTGAGGACAGTTTCTATTAAAAAAACCTTCCTGTACCATGTTTCCCCGAAAATAAGACCCAGTCTTATATATATTTTTGCCTTCAGAAGAGGCACTGGGTCTTATTTTGGTGGGATGTCTTACCCGCTTACCTCAGGACCGCCACAGCCAGGCCTCCCACACCCCAACACCTGATGCGCCACCACCTAATTTCTGTGGCTGCTTGCAGCAGCTCACAGCAGAAGGCCACGTGGCATGTTGTGCCGGTGCCACAGCTCATGGCAAGAGGCCACATTGCGCCAGTGCCGCCACTCACAGTAGGAGGCCATGTGGTGCATTGCGCTGGTGCCATCCCTCGTGCATGCCACGGCACAACATGCCACATGGTGTCCCGCCACAAGTGGCAGCACTGATGCACTGCACCATGTGGCCTCTTGCCGCGAGTGGCGGTACCGACACAACGCACCACATGGCTTGCCCCAAGCAGCTGCACCCGCATGCCACACCATATGGCCTCCTACCACAAACGGCCACCAGCAACCTGAAAAAGTGGACCAGTGGCCACACAAACTCCTGCTGGATGGGGCTGCTGCTGGTGGTGCCACTGCCACAAGGTGAGGTAGGTGTCAGGGTGTGGAAGGCCTGGCTGTGGGGGCCCTGAGGTAAGAAGGTGTGGGGCGCGTGGGGCAGCTCCACCCCACCACTCCAGCCCTAGTTTTACGTGTGCGCCTCACCCCACCTCATACAACTAGACGGACGGAGTCGGGGTCTTAACTAGGGCTTATTTTTGAGGTAGGACTTATATTAGGCACACTCATAAAAATCAAGCTAGGGGTTATTTTCAGGATAGGTCTTATTTTCAGGAAAATATGGTAGAAAGCTTTCATTGTTTAAATTACAGGAAATACAGTAATTGCTTCGTTGAATGTAAGTTTTGATTTTGTTTTTTACATAATTTTCAGACATTAGCACATTTATTTGGTAATCCCACCATTTTGCTTATCTGTAGCAAATGGAAATTGCATAATCAGTGTTTGGTTGCATTTCAGCAACTAGTACCACTTGGTATTACTTTTGTGCCTTAAAGTGAAGGTGGTCTGTTGATCTGAGTTAAAGCATAGCCTGGGTGTACTTTTTTCTATGCTGAACTTCTCTTAAGATCCTCTGCTTTCTATGTTTATGCATGATTTTTGTTTTGCACAGTAGGATATTTTTAAATCAATTGTTTTTGGCAATTGGAAAACAAATTATTTTAGAATAGTGAAGGCGCTTTCTTTTTTGTTAAACAGACGTTTCGTTTAGAATTCGACTATGCATAAAACCTGAGCCAAAAAGGGTTCTGAAAAGTACTGCTTCTTCCTTGTTGCTAATCTACTCCCCCCAATCCAAGATTATAAAAAGAGAATGAAATAAAGATATGAGAGAAAAGAGTATTTTCACTTATATTCCTTTTACTGAAACTTTACAGTTTTGTTTCTTTTTTGAGCAGCTTGAAATAGTATATGAAGAAAAGAAGAGGAAACAAAATTCCTCATCCCATGTCTACTTTCATTTATTTTTGTCCATTCCTTCTGCTAGTGATTGGGATTCATATGAGTTGATCAAACACATCTGTCAGGGCATGAACTTGAGTAATTTCAGGTCAGCTCCCCTACTTTTGGTTACAGTGTTTAGTTAAATTCTCAGATGACATAATTCTCATGTAGTGGATGCAGAATTTGACTTGTTTAAATATATTTAATACATAGGCATTAAATATGTATGAATAACCCGGGTTGCACTCCAGGTCCAAAAATCTGTGGGAATTGCTTGTACCAATGAACGCTGGTTGGCAGGGAAGATGCGCACGCCCTAAAAGAAACAATTATCTGCAACATGCTAATGAAACATGAGCAAATCACTAGTTTGGCGGGGTGTAGACACTCTCTGTGTGAATTGTTTGAGCGAAATATGTGAACTCTGTCTTTTGTAATTTGGATTATTAAGTTACAGATATAAACCTTGGCGCCCCAGAAGCTCATGTTATTAGTTCATCCCAACATGATAATGCAGAACAAGAGTTCGTTCTTCTGGTAGGTTACCTCATTTGCAATTCAATAAACATACAAATCTTTGGCTAGAACAAGTCAGATTTTTCTCATCCATTTTAGATATATTTTCTCTCAATTATATTGAGTCCACTTCTATGAAATATTGAAAATGATGTTTCCATTGAGCTTTATTTTTATGCTTTACCTTTTTGTTATCTCAATGTATTATGATTTATATAAAGCTTATATTGTTTATTATACACTAATTCTTTTGAAACAAATAATTGCCTTCCAATAGATTATATAGTGGTATATGCAATCTTCTCAGTTTTTACAGACATTTAAGCTTATGTTTTAAGTTGATTATTAACATGGGCAAGATGATACATTCCATCAGGCTATAACAGTAACATTATTTTGAATATCTCTAAATGCTTCTAAATTTTCTAAAGGCTAATAACTCTAGAAGCCATTTGTTTTGTCTATAACTGTTAAGACTCTGCAACAACTTGTTTAGTCTTCAGAGCATAACAACAATTTTATTGCAGTATTAAATATTTTACATATATGGTTTACATTTAAATTATGCCACTTTAAAACATTTGGGGGCAACTTCATATGCTAAATAAAGCTATTAAAACATGAATGTCTTCGATTCTTTCTTTTTTTGTGGAACTAACATTGATAAAAGGGTTCTCTTGCAGCCTTGTTGGTCTTTTTTAGATCAAGAAGTTATAATGAGATGCTGCAGGCTAAGACTAATCAAACTGAAATATTAAAAAAACTGGTGTGTCACATTACAACAGCTTTTCAAAATAATATTGTAAACTCTTCTCTACACTGCATATTCATCTTTGGCTGCAAATGGCATAGAGTTCACTGACATTGATAAGACCAGCAAATTCTACTATTTTTTCCATTCACGAAGGCCAGAAAATTTATTTGATGGATACAAAATAGGAGAAAAGCTACCATGATAATTACAGCTTATTTCTGGACTGATAATTAGATGTTCTATAAATTATTTATCAGTGTAATGCTGGAAGGCAGGAGAATAATGCAAAACTTTTAATGAACTGGAGAGGATTAAGATAATCTACAGTATGTTTAAGGTATTATGTGGCATGCTTTGTTAATTATGGTAATGTGTACCAATTCAACATATGAACATCACTGAACCCATGCATTTGGTGAAGTTTGTTATAAATAATTTATGCAACCTGTTTCTATAGTTGTTGGTGAACTGTTATAGAATATATGTGTTGACTATATTCCCAGGAATTAAACAGGTTTTGAAAATTATAGATTGTGTACTTCCCATAGGATGGTTATAAATTTAATGCTTATAAATAGTAAGGCCATGCAATA